CTTTTGCATAACAAAGGAAACCATAAACAAGATGAAAAGACAACCCTCAGAATGGGAGAAAATATTTGCAAATGAAGCAACTGACAAAGGATTAATCTCCAAAATATATTATCAGCTCATGCAGCTCAATATTAAAAAAACAAACAACCCAATCCAAAAATGGGCACAGGACCTAAATAGACATTTCTCCAAAGAAGACATACAGATGGCCAAGAAGCACATGAAAAGCTGCTCAACATCACTAATTATTAGAGAAATGCAAATCAAAACTACAATGAGGTGTCCCCTCACACCAGTTAGAATGGGCATCATCAGAAAATCTACAAACAACAAATGATGGAGAGGGTGTGGAGAAAAGGGAACACTCTTGCACTGTTGGTGGGAATGTAAATTGATACAGCCACTATGGAGAACAGTATGGAGGTTCCTTAAAAAACTACCATATGACCCAGCAATCCCACTACTGGCCATATACCCAGAGAAAACCATAATTCAGAAAGACACATGCACCCCAATGTTCATTGCAGCACTATTTACAATAGCCAGGTCATGGAAGCAACCTAAATGCCCATCGACAGACGAATGGATAAAGAAGATGTGGTACATATATATACAATGGAATATTACTCAACCATAAAAAGGAACAAAATTGGGTCATTTGTGGAGATGTGGATGGATCTAGAGACAGTCACACAGAGTGAAGGACGTCAGAAAGAGAAAAACAAATATCGTAAATTAACGCATATATGTGGAACCTAGAAAAATGGTACAGATGAACCGGTTTGCAGGGCAGAAATTGAGACACAGATGTAGAGAACAAACATATGGGCACCAAGGGGGGAAGCGGCAGGGGGTGGTGGTGGTGGTGATGAATTGGGCGATTTATGCACTGATGTGTATAAAATTGATGCTTAATAAGAACCTGCTGTATAAAAAAATAAATAAAATTCAAAAATTTAAAAAACAAAACAAAGCAAGAGTAAAACAATTCAGTGAAATTTAAAATTCAGTTCCTAAGTCATTCTGACCACGTTGCAAGCACTCAGTAGCTTCATGTGCCTGCTGGCTGTCATATTGGACAGCAAAGATACAGAACTTTTCCATCATGATAGAAAGGCTATTGCACAGTGCTGCTCTAGAATAAGAAAAACCAGATTTTCAAGGGCCTCAGAAGGCATCTGCACGACTCTCCAGCAAAGCATAAATTTGCTCCAAAAATCCTGCCCCTGTGACCTCACATGCACACCAGCCTCATGCTGCACCATCCTTAGCCCCTGGGCAGGGTGTGAAACAAAGTAACTGAGCTCCCTGGCTAAGTTTATGATTAACCTCTTTTTTTTTTTTGGCCATGCCAGGATAGTCCCTATAATTAACTTCTCTGTCCAAAACTTTATTCCCTTTCTTTCTCCTTTCACCTCTCTGATGCTTCCTCACCTCCTCCTTAAATATTCCTTAAATGCAATGTGACTGGCACATAGTAAGCACTCAATAACTATCAATTTCTCCTCCACTCCTCACCCCCTCCAACCCCCAAATACTCCTCCATCCTGGTGGCCAGATGGGCTGGGGAGGCTCCAGGGACTTTATAACCTTCTTCTCTCATGCTTCTGCTGAGAGATGCCAGGCTCTTGCTGGCAGATGCCCAGGGAAACTGAGGCTCAAGGGCACCACTTCATCTTAGCAACAATTAAAGGTGGGAAAAGTGACAGTTCTCCTTTTTGGGACACAGTTATTTCCTTCATCATAAATACACAGTTCAGAAATATGAACCAATGAAACAAAATAATTATGCCACAATCCCCAAATTATGGGAAATTTATAATCAGTGAGTGGACAGTAAAACCACACAAAGAAGAACCACATTTAACAAATTCTGCTAAGTAACGTGGATGAATCTCTTAGGAAAAATGAAAGTTGATTCATGTCTTTCATTTCATGCCACAAAAATTCTAGATCAGGATATTCCGTGGAATCATGTAAAAGATTAATAGGTGATGTAAGAAAGAGT